CCACTTGGCAATTCACCCTATTAGCCATTTGTTGCTCGCTGCGTGTTCTGGCTGGCCTAAGCCTGTCGGCGGTATTTCTGACCGATCTTCGCTGAAATCTCTCATCCAGGGATTCCTCACGCTGCTCGTTTCTACGCAAATTGTATTCAACAGTTCGCAAAAAACTCGTTTTAAATCAATAAGTTCAAAAAAAGTAACGAATTTTCCTATAACGCGTTAGCGATTAGCTCAAAGGGTTAGCGGAATGCTCGGCGTCAGGATTGAGATTGGTAAACAAACTGATCGTTGCCAACGGGGAGAAAGAAATAAAGGTTCTTTTTGCGCCACGCATAAGCGTTTTATATAATATTTGTATTACCGACTATCCATCAACAATGCTCAACGTCCCTGATTATCAATAAGAATCTAAAAATGACATAAATGTGACGTAGTGAATAATTATGACATAAATTTGTTATAACGGAATTAATTAAATGTATTAAGCAGGCCATTCACATCTCTTCCAAAATGGAATTTTTGGTACACGGGAGGGAAAAAGCAATCGTCAGTTTTAAAAACCGATGGAAATTGGAATAGCGGAATGGCAATGCTGGAATTCAAACGAACTCAAAATACAACAATTCATACGCCTATTCCAGTTTGGGGCCTCGATTAGAGGGTAGCGGTACATCAAAGGATCTGCCTACATTGAGACCTCGCGTTGAAAGTCTCTGAAACTTTTAACCTTATCTCAAAACAAACTTTGGAGCCTCCGTGAATGACGTGCCTTATTTTTCGACTTGAATGGATAGAGAAGAAAACAGTCTAGGGACAAATGGAATGGAGTACAGATGAATGTCCAGCTTTATAATGAATAAAGAATGGGGTTGAAACATTCCTGAGCGAAGCCGGATAATAAAGCCTGTAGAATGCTAAATACTTTTCTTTTAGTATTTTATAAAACGAAATGTATTCTTGGGAAAGAAATTTACATGAATTTTTTTAATTTTTTCTTCTCTCCCTTGAAAAATATTTATTATTAAAAATATTTAAATAACCACAGTTTTAAATATGTTTCAAAAATCATCATGCATTTAATAGTTATTCCATGCTGCAGTGAAAACCCATAATTGTACTTTTAATCTTCAAATTTTTGAAATCGGCAATAAAAAATTTCAGTCAGTCCTTGAAAATCGTATCAAATTTAGTAGATTGCAATTAATTCCACAAATAATTCTTACCTTCAAGTTATGATGTGATATTTATCCTAAATATGAAAAAAACCATAATTTTACTTTCAAACTTGGATTTTTGAAATCGCATTAAAGAAAATTTTAGTCAGTCTTCGTAATTTAATAAATTTGATAGTTTTCTTTCAATGCTGTCCTTAGATAAATTTTGCCTCAAACAATAACGATAAAACACATTGATTTTTTCCTAAATAAAAAATAGTACTGCTTTGACACATAAAATGTTTCCAAGTAGCCTTGTATCTGTCTGTAACACCCAAATGACTGCAGAGTTCTAAAGAGGCCAGAAAAAAATTTAGATCCAATAAATAAAACTGAACAGTCTTGTTTACGAATTGAAATGTGATATACGGGCTTCGATACAAAATACGCAACGGCCAGAAACAAATAAAGCTTAATATAACACAAAAATAGTTTTACACGGTTCACCGGAATGCAGCTTTTCACTCTTTAAATACGGGAAGCGACGCAGAAAAACGCTTCAACGAGAGATTCGGGTTTTTTTTTTGTCGTTTTTCTTTTTTAAGTTTCAATAGTGCTTTTGGAATTTTTACGAATAAATAAAGAAAAAAGCGCAGATGTTTAAGAGTTGTTAGTATCGGAAAAGGAGTTTGAAATATTTTTACCTCGTTCTGAAAAAAAAATTGGTGTGTTGAGATGTTTGAATTTTTATCTGTAAAAAAAAAAAGATTTCCTTGCCCATGTTGAATCTTTATTTTTTTTTTTTGCTCGTTCTCTTTCATTCAAAATGTTTAAAAGTTTCTAAACCGTATCATTTTTTTTGGAAAAAAAATGACGGGTTTTCTAGTGACTTTAGATGTAGACAGAATTCCATATCTTTCACTACAAGGAATTTTAAAAGTGATCTATTTTTTATCCGTTATTTTTCCGTTAGAAGTCGCAGAAACACAATTCCGGTTACGAAATGTTATTACTTTAACAAGGGGAAAAATTTTTACATTTTTTAAAAACTGTTTTAACCTTTAGTCATTCAGTTATAATGATTTGAAAAGGATCGCTAGAAAGTTGATATTTTTTGAAAACTAGGTAGCAAACTGACTTCATGTTGCTTAGGAATAATTCTTTGCGCTTTGTTTTTCGTATTGCACAATTTGTTATTTCAGATGTTTTAATTTTTCAAAGTGAGACATAATTTAAAAATATGTTTGCTGGTCAACCAGTTTGGTGACTTACATGCACTTTATCACTGTACTTTTAATCTGTCTACTTTTTCATCATTCAAATTTACTGTATATTTTTGTGGTAGTATATGAAATAAATATATTTAGTGTATTCAAATTCGTTTATTTCATTGTGAATTAAGTTATCTGAGTTGTTAAATATACCATCAAACATTTCTCTTTAAAAATATGTTAAGAGATTAATTCCCTTTTTCGTATTTTAACTGAAGAGAAAATAAGAGTTTTATAAATATATTTGTTGAAAAATCTTTATCACATGAGGCTTAAATTTTCATTATTTTTATGTACAGAGCAGAAATTTATGAATTCCTTTAAAATGTAGGATATCCAAACACATTATTACACTTTCTTTGAATGACTATTTCATGAAAAACTAATAAAATAATTCAGCAGTTTTTAAAAATACATATTGTTAGTGTACTAAAAAGTAGATTTGTATTTTATTTAAACAGTTTCAACGTATTGTCTGTAATTCATTTTTATAAATATTGAAAAATCTTGTAATTAATTTTATCTAAAATTGTCCAACAGGTGGCACCACCTGTATAAAATCAAAATTTAATTCTATTAATCGATTAATTGATAATTAAGTTCTGAAAAAATTAAAATAGTGTATTGTCAGTGACAATACACAATTGTACAAAAGTTCAACACTTTAGTACCTCAGAATATGGGTGAAAAATCGATTGTAAAATTTCATCTTTTGAAACATGAAGCAACTCTAGTTAAATAAAAGTGTTTAACCCCTTAAACGTCGTTCCCATACGTCACGCGCATCCGTTATCGCATTTTTAGGTTTATAAACTAAAATTTAATCATTAAATAGCTTTATAATTTGACAAGAAATGTATGTAGAATCCATAAACATCCCAACTATTCTATGCCTTCTTAGATTAATGAAAATGACAGCCCTTTTCGAAAACAGAAAGAGTTATCTTATTAGATAGCAAATAAAATAAAACTGTTAATGGGTTAATAAAAGACTTATAACTCAAATTTACACAAATGTGGAATTTTGTCAGTTTGTGAAAGTAATCGAAATGTTTGTCTTTAATATCCAGGTAATGCATAGATTAAATAGATTGATAACGCATGCCGGAGGAATTATTAAGGTCGCTGACCATATCAGTTAGTGTCGGGTACATTTGTTTTTTCTATGACTGCCCTCAGTTAGTGTCGAGCATGTGTGCCAGTTCTTCTGTTTAAAAGAAATCCATTGGAAATTTAAGAAAGATTCTACCATTAAGACATTCATTAGACTTTTTCAGTATATTTGTGCGTTAACTGTTTTAAATTTTTCCACCTTCTATCGGTGAATCCTCTTTACGCCGAGAGGGTTTTGTGTAACCTTAATCTTAACTGGTTGTTTCCCTCACGGTGGATTATTAATAATAATAAGTTTATAGGGAAGGAATCGGATATGTCATCGCGGTAACCATTTTCCATTTTTTCCATTCCATCCGGTTCTCCAATTTTTTTCCCGCGGTAATCCTACGTATTTTGTTATGAAATGTTGATATATGTTATTAGTTCTTTATTGAATTGTTATTATGTTATAAATCTTTTGGATACCCTATATTTTCGGAATTAATTTCTCGATTTCGAAGAGTGAGATAAAGAATTGTAATAGTGAAAAAAATCGACCGAGATTTTAATGAATCTCCATGTTTAGATCTCCCTGAAACCACGAAAACATTTTTATAAAATTTGTGTCTCTATCTGTGAACAAACAACTCAAAAACTCATGAAGCTAGACTGATGAAATTTGGTATATGGTCCTTACAGTAAAATTGTAAATTTCTGCCAAATTTTGGGCGTTTGGGCCCAAAGTTTTCGAATGAAAGTCAATCTATCCGTATATATATGCATGCGATAATTCAAAAACACGACGAGCGAGATAAATAAAATTCAATAGGTGCTCCCCACATCAGAAGTGTAGATCTTTTACGAATCTGTTTTGGATTTAATCATTCAAAGGATTGAGTATCTGTGTATGGGAATACGGTGATTCAAAAAGGGGAAAAGCTCGGCGAGGAAAATATGGCATATGATCTTTACATCAAAACTATAGATATGTATCAAATTTTCGAGTCATCGGGATAGATCTGCCAAGATCCGCCAACTATTCCAAAATGCATAGTTGATTTTTCACTACACAAAGATACTAAACCCAAAACACGGCATATTGTGTAAGTATACGAGAAAATCACGGAGAGAACACTTTTGTTTTTTACTCTGAAATTCTCTTTCATGAAATAGTTTTAAAACGGTTTTGACATGTATTCGATAGATAACCCAGGTACTGATTGTGACCGATGCTGTTTAAGTCCTGCTGCACATGTCCGATTTGTGTCGGACAAGTCATTAGCGATTATCAGCGGAAAGTACATTGATACTAGTTGGGTAGTGCACATGTACCTCCCTCCAAATTAGGTTGTGGACAAGTAATTTGCCACACTTGCTCAGAATATTTTTCTCTGAGGGAATTCGGAATAGAACCGGTGGTATGAGTGCATTATCCAACGTGCTACCTACTACGCTATTGTGACCTCGAAAAGATGCCAGCCGTATGTAGTGTTCCCAGGTGGTACCAAGGCCCATACCATCCCAAGTACTGACTGCTCCCGATGTTGCTTAACTGCGGTGATCAGACGAGAACCGGTGCTTTCAGCATAGTATGGCCGTTGGTACACTATCCAAATGCTATCAATGTATTTCAAGCCACGGATCGCTTCACTGTCATTTTGGGTCTCTAACTTGGCAAACACAAATCGCATATGTACACCAGGCCTATTTGTTGTATGACCCGGGAACAGATGCTGTATGTATGGTGCTGAATTCTTCATGCAGTGTGGAAGTTTGGAAACACCAGTAGATGAAGAATTAATGATTTTTGATATATAATGTTTTATATTTGAATACTTAAGAAATAATCCCAAAAGTAGAATGAATTGTGTCGTACGAATCACTCCTGCAAATATTGTATGAACTTTTATTTCAGAAATAATTCTAACCTCCATAGTTTATCTTTGTTTCTATGCTGTGGCCGATTCCATCAAAAGCAGCGATAGTTTCCTAAACATCTGCATCCAGAAACGTTTTCCATTTTAGTCTCTTTTAACACAGCCTGGACACGCTTTATATCTTTCTCGGATGGTAAAAGGAAATCAGCACTTTTTGCTTTATGGATGCGCGCATATACATATATCTCTGGGTAGCCAGATAGATATTCAGCTCGCGAGAAAAGAAACAATATATTTTTCATGGCGATATCCTTGTAAGGAATGACTCTCAACAGAGATATTCCTCAGAATACAGATGCATCCGCTGCAGATAAAAAACTGGAGGAAGAGAATGCGAGTCTTTTCATTCTAGCAGTTCTTGTTGACGTTATATGATGGCACATTATATTTTTGTTCTCAGAGTGCGAGCGGAATGCAGAAATAAATCTGAATTTTGAACTCGGAGAAGACAATTTTACATATAAAATCAGGGCTAGCGATCTGTATGTTCAAGGGATGTTTTGCCTTCTCAAAAAAGTACAAAAATTGTGTTTTTGTCTGTCACCCGTATTCTCTACTTCGATAGATTTTATTGACAACGGAATAGAAAGAATATGCCACCACTGCAGAAAGGTTGGTGACAAGGAAAATAAATACTGTGACATGTCCAACTCGATGGTTGGAGTTGATACGTCTTATAAAGCATCTACAGTTAACTTTGAATATGAATTTGCAATGTTTCATAACAGTAATATAGAGTTATTGAAAACAATTGCCCTGATAACAAATTTTCTTATAAACAACGATGGATGTTACCCGTGTATTTGAACACAATACTTAACCTCTTGAAACCCAAAGGTATAATTTTCGACCAATTTTCACAAAAATTGAAATTAATACTCTTGAGAGTATTATATATTAATTAATATACTTAACTTATATAATTATATATAATTAATAGATGCCAGCATGGGACCATCCAAAGCATTGAACAGCGAGATTTAAGGGCTTTGAATGGAATGAAACCGTTTTTGTAAATAAAACACAAATGTAAATTAAAATGGACGCGGGGTCTCAAGAAGATAGGAGAGCATAAAGTTTTGTTTGCGTTCATAAAAACTTCCCTTGTCACACGTGCGACATTCATGCACTAGTCCATTTCACTACCATCTGAAGACTTCTCTATGCGTACCTTTAGTTCGTTCCCTGTTGCACGCAAAGGAGGCGTTAAGACGGAATCTACGACATTTCCCAATTGAATGAAGACACAAGAAGTAATTTCAGAAAATTTAGATAGCCACATTCAGAACATGCATGTGGCATCAATGGCTGTGAACATGCTTCAAAGAGTATGATGTGAAACGGTTAAACTTTTCCGATTTACACACTTGTTTTTCATAATTCGCGTGTTGTCCTCTTTTTCCCATGTTTTCAAAAACTTCTTAAAGTTTGTCGATTTTGTATGAATATAGGTAACTTTAATATCACGAGACACACTTCTTCAGAGCATCTGGAGCAGTCAAACGATCTACAAACCGTCGCCTAGATATCCATACTAGGACCAGGACCCTGATTCATTCTTTACGACGACAGGGAAACTGACCAGATCAGGTTCCTTCATGGGTATTGTGACTGTTCTGGCTCTAATACTCTAAGCCACACCTTTTCATCCCCCCCCCCACTTTCAGAGGGCGCTTTCATCATCATCAGTTTTTCGTCTAGGTACACGGCAGCCTTAAGTTTCATTTTGTATTGCTTCAATAGTGTTACAAACCTGGAATGTCGCTTCCCGGTAATGTTAGTCTTATGGTTGGGCAGAGAGTTTAACAGGGTTATATATGGAATGACCGGCAGCGGCTAGGCCTGAACTAGATATTCACTCCTGATCTTGGCTACCATTTTGGCGACTTTGGCGATAAATCAAAATTCTCAAAAATGCGATTATTTTCTCGATGTCTCTATTCGGAGGCGAGATCCAGATTTTTCTAGAGATTTCCATGTGACGCCACGAACCTGTCAAGAACACTATAAATACTCGGCAGTGGTATTCGACGGGGAGCGTCTGTGGAGCGCGAAGAATCTCTTTGTATTCTTGTTCGCATTGCGAGTTGGTCAGCTACTAGACACTGAGCGTTATTGTTCGTGCTATTACTGTTATTATTAGTGACTAGCAGTACGCGCACGGCGATGCCCGTGGAATCAGGACTTCAACAAAATAAAAAAAAAATCGCCCACAATGACACGAAAAAGTTTTCAAAACAAAAGATACACATTATAGATTTTCCGGCTTATTTTTTCAGCGATAATAACATGTAGAAAAACAGTACAGAGTACATTAATCCAAAACAATATAAAAAAATTGTTGCCCGTGGAATCGGGACTTCAACAAAATGAAAAAAAATTCTTAGAACATGACAAAAAGCTCCGAAGGTCATGACGTCACCTGGCCCTTCATCCAATCAAATTGAAAGCTGACTTCCGGAAGGCTATCGCTGAAGAAATTTCGCTCGACGAAAATAACTTTCATCTGTCCAGGAATAATTTAATTTAAAAAAAACTTGAAAAGATATTTTAACCGTTGTTGTTTTAAATCCGACACAACCGTTCTACCTATATGCTGAAAAAAATTGAAAATAATAGTGTTATTAGAAAATCGGATGCAACAAATTTAAAATCAAAAGTAACATCTTGAAGCCAAAACTGGGTATTTTTAAAAAAATTCTCAAAATTCAGTAAATTGCGTTAGGAATTCAAAACTAACTTCATTAGAACGGAAATCGCGTGCTCTTTCCGATGGTCTATCTATTTTTGTCGTACAATTATTTGAAACCATTCTATTGAGAAATTAGTGCGAAAAATCAACCAAAACAACACAAAACATTAAATAAAAAAATTTCTAGATTAAAATTTAAAATTTCGGCTTCGAGGTGCATTCAGTCACCATTACGACTACCTGTGTGCCAAATTTCATGGCTGTAAGTGCGATAGATTCGTCTGGACATCGCAGACAAACACACACACACGCACACACACACGCACACAAACATTGCCTTTTATAAGTATAGATTTGCTGTTTGCTTGTGTTGCTAAGTTGTGCAAGTGCTGTGTTTTTTCCTGTTGCCTGTGCTTCGTCTTTCCTGAAAATTCGTGAATAAAGCCTCATTCTCCATTATCCTGCTTGTTGTACTGTTCTCACTGTACACCCACCGGACTATTTTCAGAATATTTTTCCTCTTCCTATGTTATTGTTTACAAAGCAGTTAAAGTTAATATTAATCGGTGCAATTGTTTCGAACTACCTTGTATTTACGATTTTTAGATTTGTTAGAATTGAACTTTCTTGTTATCAAACCAAACGATTTAGAAGGCTACGGCTATAAATCCATAAGGTCAATTTTCGGAACCTGTTCTATGTTATCTTTAAAGGAGGATGTAATTGAACAAATCAAATTAGTTTCCTACTGAATTATCGCATAATCAGGCAGAAAACTACTGTGATAACCATCCATAAAACTGATTTGGGTTCTCTAAAAACATCAAACAAAATATGAGTCTGAATATTGAGCTTGATTAAATAGAAAGAAAAGTTCAAAATTAATCAAATCTACAAGACAAAAATACTAATAAGGCTTTACTTTAAGTTGCGACGTATACCCACGAACAACAGAAACAATTTCTCGTTTGAATATAATTCACTATTTTCTTGTTTCTTCCAATAGATTTGAAGGAAATTTGAATAAATTTTTACGTTAAAAACAATTTGTAATCCCATTAACTTGGATTTAATTATGTAAATTCAGGGAAAATACGAATCTAGAGATTTTCCTGAATAATTAAAAATCCAATAAAATAAATATAAAACGTTAAATTCTTAACTAAACCATAATAAGTAAAGTCGAGAAAATGTAACTTTTTAAAATTTATTGCAGCCCATGT